GTTGTTGTAGCTGTTGTTGTTTCTGTTGTGGTTTTTGGGTGGTAGGTGGTTGCTGTTGCAGTTGCTGCTGATGCTGTTGGTTGTTGTCATCATCGTCATCAATGTAGTAGCATAAAGTAGTTGTGTTGTTGCCGCTGCCATTTTTATTACTGTTGCTGGCAGCAACTGTTGTTGTTGGAGCTGCTGTTGCTGCTGCTGTTGTTGCTGGCTGCTTGCGCTTGTGTCCCGTTATGCTTAGAGCGGCCGTTAGACTAGAAGCCGCATGCAGTATTGAACGCTGGTTAAAAATGCTATTGGAGGCAGCCGCCGCGGCCGCATTGTTGTTCTTGCGAAATTTATGATGATGATGAGACGGTGGCGGTGGCGGCAGCGGCGGCGGCTGCTGTTGCTGTTGTGGCTGCTGATGCTGCTGCTGATGCTGTGCTTGTGGCATTGGCGGTTGTCACGAGCAGGCTACCTCAGCTGTCGTCGCGCTGCTGTTGTTGTTGTTGCTGCTAGCATTGTTGTTGCTGCTGCTGCCATTATTATGCGGCACGGACGCTGCTGCTGCTGCCTGCTCCGTGTTGTCCACACAGTTGCTGCTATCCGAGCCATTCTTGCTCGATGCCTTGAAACTGGGCGCATTCATTTGCGCCGCTGTGGGCGTGGTGGGCGTCATGCCACCCGTATCGCTAGAGGCATTCGAATTGTCCTCAATGAGCTGCAGAGAAATTGATTGGGCAAAAATTAATATACTATTTAATTATAAATCTAATTAATTAAAATTTACCGATTCACTCAAACGTTGCCTCTTAACACCGCCGCTGTCGCGTCCACGATTGCTGCTTGCCGTTTGCTGAACCGGCGGCAGCGGATCCTGTGATTGCGCCAGCTCCGACGACAGACGCTTGCGATTCGCCAGCAGCGTATTATTGAAATTGTTGTGACTCTCCATGGACTTGCGTTCGCGCTTGAGAAAGTCTGCGTCCAGGTAGAGCGACAGCTGTTTGCGCTTCAAATGGCGCGCGTCAATAGCCATGCCCTCCTTCAGCATTTTGATGTTCAACTGGAAATGGTCAATGTTTTGTTTGCATTAAAATATGGTATATACAAGAACTTGGTCAACTGCTGCTTACGCCATGCATAATCACATGCTCTGTAAAGTTTTGTATGCTCTCGGTGAGGTCAATGTTGAGGTTCTCGGAACGCTCGAACTCCAGGCCAATAAACCAAAGCGAACAGAACGGTGCCGTGGTGACGGCGGTTTGTGCTGGCGGCTGTTGCTGCTGCTTCAAATCCTCCTCATTGCCGCTGTTATTCTGTGAATTGTTTGCGCTAGCAGCGCCCTTTTTCAGCTCAAAGCATTTCGGATTGACATGGGCCAGAACAATGTGCGGATTCCGCTCCAGATTGCCAATGAGCAGGCGCACCTTGGACTCGACCAGACCGCACCATTCCAAATGATCGTCGGCTGTCTGTGAGTTGACGAGCAGTACAATAAAATGACGATATCTGTAAAAGAAACTGGGCGCCTCGAAAAGGCGATCCCAACTGACGCGGCCGAGCATGATCTCATCCGTGATGCTCATGCCGCGATTGAATTCGGTCAATATGACCTTCTTTGTTGACTCGGACACATTGAATGTGGAGTTTTGTTGTGGATATGCGGGCGTGATGATCGGCATCAAATGATAACGATCCGAGGCATTAACACGCGGATCCCAGACCTAAAAATAAACAATATGGTAAAACGAGTTTAGCTGGCACTTTTTGCTAATGACACACATACCGGAAATCGTAGATTGACATTATCGGGATGCTTAAGCAATACCGGATTGGGCCACTTCCAGCGTGAGAAGACCAAGAAGAACTTATGCACCAGCGTCGCGGCGGCAGCATTTGGATACAGCTGGCACGTGCGTGCCACCAGCATGGCCCAGGTGACGCCGCCAAAATAGCCCAGCGAATTTGAATAGATGCCATGCTCTGGGAATACGCGTGGATCAATCAATTAATATAAATATGTATGTCTTTATAATTTATGCCACAACTCACTCTTTGCCCACAATTTGATGGTGCGCAACGCCAGGCGAAAGTTCTCAATATTGGGCACCAGGGCTAGTATTTCATCGGTGACACGACAGCCGTTCAGGCTGCGCACCGAACGTGGATCCAGATTCTTGAGCAGATTATCATCGCGCAGATCAAAATCATCGGGTATTTCCTTGAGCGAAAGCCGAGCAAATAGTAAATCAATTTCGATGCCATCGAAATTCATTTTGATGACCGGCACGAAGGCCTCCTCGACGGAACGGCATTCGGTGACCTCGGGCTGTTTCTTCAAGACCTCAAAGAAGCTCTGAAAATAATCGGTACGCTCAATATTACGCGGCGCCACGCACAGCGCATCGATATCCGCCCCCTTATGATGCACGCCAAGGCGATACGAGCCGAATGTGTAGATTTTGCCGCCCAATTTCTCGGCGGCCGCCTCGGGCATATTCTTGCTGACGGATATCTCCTTGACCCACTGCTTGACCAGCGTGTTCAGCTTGGCCAATATTTCCATGCGATGATTCAGCTCATCCTGGCTCTCAAAGACATTGTACGGCTCCAGAGATTTGCTAAGCTCCTCTGTGCGTTGCAGATCCTCGGCACGAGGCTCGGCCAGGCTAATGGCCGATGTCATGCCCAATTGTTTGGCAGGCTGCCCGCCGACCCCCGCCGAGGTAGTGTTGCCATTATATTGTTGTTGCTGCTGCTGCTGGCGATGTGTTGGTTCGGAATTCCACATGCTGTTACTATGTTTAATTACTGTAATTATTTAAACTGAATTACGCTGTGTTCATAGGGGCATCAGTAAATAATTTGCTACTCACCTAACTAAAGTCTTACAATTAGCTGGTTTTTTTGTTGTTGTTTGTTTATAATCTTAAAATTTAAGTTGCCTGCTGCGGTTGCAGTTGCAGTTGTTGCTGTTGTAGCAATAAATGGAATTACATATGTAGCCCGCTAGCGCTGCGCACAATACTAAAATGCTGAAATTAAAAAAAAAAAAAAAACAACAAAACAAAAAATAAACAAATTGCATTAAAATTCGTTCAACTTTTTTCCTTCCGGCAATTTCAACATTGATTTTATGGCTCTTTCTCTGTCACAATGCAATTTTTTCTATGCGATAAGATATTTGGCCATAAGAATCAACAAAAACAAAAACAACAACAATATAAACAAATAAACTGAAAAGTCCAAAGCACAAACGACTTTAGCAAATTCTGTTAGAGCTGCCGCCTTTGGGAACTAATAAAAGAAAAGCCATAAAAACTGGTTAGCTATTATTAAAAAAAAAAAAAAAAGCTATAAAAACGGGTAGCAAAGAAAAATATGGGTTTGTTTTGAATTCATTCATTTTAGTTAAGTATTTTGAAATGCTTCTGAGATTGAATTTAAGTAATTTATAATATACATAATATATGTATTGGAGTTTTGCGACAAAGAGATAATGTTGCCTCCTCACTTTTCCATAAATATTTACTTTATTCTACTCTAATTAAGCGAAACATGAGCGCAAAATAAGCTGATTGCGGTAAATGAAAAAAAAATAGCGGAGCACAGCCACACTGCCTGTACGCAGAGCTGGCCACACTCATGAACGCGCGAGTGAGAGCTTTTTTCGGGTTGTTGTTGCTGCTCGCTCATATAAACAAATGCGTAGATATCATTTATTTGTATTTAGAGATGGCAAAAGTGCAAGCTAATTGTCGACATATTATAAACATAAACAAAAAGCAAGCGTAAAAGCAAATCAAAACGGAATCAGAAATCAGAGATAGACACCCACACACACACAAACAAGCACAGGTATATGACAGCCGAAAAACAACTCATGCGCACACATACACACACACACACAAACGAAAAAATTGCGCTGCGTTAGGAACTTTTATCTGCGGTTTTGTTGCTAAAAACTTATGTTTACTGCAGCTTACCTGCGCTTTATGCTGTTTATTTGTAGTTGGGCCAAGCTTTTGGTTTCAAACAAATTGATGTTGCGTTATGTGTATGTTGCTCTTGTTGTTATTATGCTGTAATTGTGGTGGTGGTGGTGTTGTTGGCGCAAGTGTATGCGTGTGTTTTGTATGCATATGTGTGCACATGTATGTATGTAGTTTGGCAGCGTACGAGTGTTGAGGCCCATTCATTTGTGTCGTTCCGGCTTTTTTCAAGCACTATTTTTCTGCTCTTTTTCTTCGTATTTGTTATTTGTGTCGCGCTTTGTGTGTGTTTTAATCGTCGTCTTCGTTGTCGCGCGCTGTCTTCTTTATGCTCATCTCTTTCATATTAAATTCGCCTCTATACCCGCATGTAACTTTTTCTTTTGCTGGTCTGCTTCTTTTTTATGCTACGTGACTCTGGCTCGCTCGCTAACTGATGCACGCCATGCACAACAAAAATCACTTTTCATTTAATAATTAATGCATATGTATGATGGACGCGCGCGCTGCATTGATGAAATTGCGTTGGATTTTTTCTGCTTCTAGTGTGTATTCGACATTTTCGGTTTCCCTTTTACAGTTTGATTTGCGCGTTCTACAAATGACTATGCCAAGAACCGCAACGACCGACACGAATGTGTGTGGATAATAAAAGAGAAGCCAAAAAATGCAGAGTTGCTTTGCCATTTATATCGCCATGCGGCCATTCACACGCACGCGTTGTAACCTCTACACACAATCCACAAATTTCAAATGTTTGTTATCGTAAATATGAATAATTGTTGTTTGCATGCACAATGATGCCGATAGCTGAAGCCATATTAAAATTAGAAGCTGAAGTATTTTGTATTTAAATATATTTTTTATTACAAATAAAGTGCTCTTGGGCCGCCCGTTGTGGAACTTAACTGTAGTGGCAGTATTGATATTTTGGGTTCCACAACAAGTCCGCCGATGTGGCAACGCTGCAAACAGCTGTGCACTTTATTTGTATTTTGGTGAATTGGGAAAACTGTGCAGAAACCGAAACACAATGTAAAAACAGACAAAACGCACTTAATGGCAGCCACAATATGATACCCTGGATGCGCGAGAAATTCAACGAGAAGCGCGCCAAGTGGCTAGCACGCAGCAAGCAACGGGGCAGCGAAACCGAACCCAACTCCAGTGCCACCAGCCCACGCACAGCGAGCAGCGCCAGCGGCAGCGGCAGCTGCAGCGATGAGGGCAGCAGACTTAGCCTGCGCAGCGGCGCCTCCAGCAGTTCGGTGCCAGTGCAGACAACGGAAACGGAAACGCAAACGGATCTCATTGGCGGCAGCGGCGGCTGCGTTTTGCGCACACCCTCGCCGGCGCGCAGGCGACGGATCCAATTGGAGCTGCAGTTGCAGCAGGAAAAAGCAAGGAAAGCGGAGCAAGCGAATGCGTAAGTTGCCAAGTCAATAATCATTAGTGTTAAATGTTTTTTTTTTCTGTCTTTTTTCTACTTATCCTTTCGAAATTCTCTGTTGGATTTACGCACCGCACGGCTAAAAACGCTACCAATCCGTTCAACCCATCCGAAAATAAACAAACTATGCAAAAATTGCGCAGTTTGTTTCTCAGGTGAGTTTTCAGCTGCATTGGAATCGTTGCGTTTGACCCAAACCTAATTCACTTTTGACAGAAAAAACCATGCAAGGCTCACAACAACTTCATCAACGGTTGTGCAGGATGAGGATACGGCCAAAACTGGCGAAACAATTACCGTGCGCGTCATTTGTCCCAGCTCTCGTGTGCTCATCTTTCAGACGGACATGAATAAGCGCCTGAACGATCTGAAAAGTGAGGTCATTCTGGAACTGAGCGACGATCCCGATTCCATACAGCTGTTTGCGCCCGATGTGCGGCATTTGAATCCACGTTATCGTCTCTATCGTGCCGAGTACTTTGGCGGCGAACTCAACGAGGCCCAGACGCTTGCCCAGCTCCATGTGCGAAACAATGAGACGTTTATATTGTCGCCACGCCGCAATACGCTCTCGCACACCGTGACGCGCACCCGCGAGGTGCCTGGCCCCAACGATGCCCTGCTAGAGAGCGCCACACGGTTTGTGCACAACAATACCAACACGTTGCCCATCATAGACATCAATGAGATCTTTCAGCAGTCAAATGTGAGTGCTGCTGAGCAACAGTTCCAGTCTTTCAATTCCATGCATAATCTACTTTTTGCTCTCAGATACAATACGATGTGCGCAAGGTGCTCATTTCGCTGGCTCAGGCCTCGGCAGCAATTATTGGCGCCGGCCCGTATGCGCCACGTTTGATTAGCATGCTGAAGCAGCGTTTGGTCAATCGGCGTAACCATCAGGCGGACACGCTGCAGTGCCTCGTTGACATGGGCTTCACACGCGAGGTGTCCGCCCAGGCTCTGCGTTCCAACAATGGCATCTACTCAACTACATTGGAGTGGCTCATACAGAATCAACGAGACGATGATGCACAGCAGCCAGCGCAGCCGGCGATGAATATGCAGCAAAGCGCCTCCTCAATTTCACCCTCAACCATTGTCACCGATAATGTAGCTATACGATAGCAGCCGTATTCAATTGTATATGCCTATAACACGTTTCTCTTCAGGAAACCATCGAGAATACCGCTGCTCTGTTGCAAATTGTGCGGATATACAGTCATCGCGATGCGCCGCCAACTGATGAGATTGTCGAATCGCTTACCGAAATGGGCTTTGAAGAGGCCGCTGTCCTATCGGCGCTTAGGAAGACGGGCAACAACAAGGCCTCCGCCTGTGACTGGCTCTGCGAGAATCGTTCGGCTAGCGTGATTGAGCTACGGGAGGGTCTGGCACCAGATTCACCAATTCTTAAAGTAATACTCGAAATGCCGCAAGTGCAATTGACGCTCAGCAATCCAAAAACCTTTTTGGGTACGTGCATACTATATAGATTTATAGTTTAGTTTAACAGGGTTTATAACTAGATTAGAATAGATATATTTGATTTTTTTGTAATGAATGGTTCTAGCTATCTTAAGCTTAAGCACCCTTTTTAATATAATGCTAATTTTTAGACTAATTATGAACAATTATAAATTACTACGAAAACACAATATATAATCTTAAAGAATTTAAGCGTTCTTATAAGAAATATTTTTTTTAACTGTAGACTAGCATATCTATATAAAAATATACATCCGACAATATAATGTAATGTAGGTATATATATGTATTAATTTTAATATAAATTAGATATATATCTTAATATGAAATGTACGTTATTTTAGGTTTGTACAAAGCAATGTTTTCTATAGTTGAGATCTACGATTATATACTAAACTATATCTTATTTCTAATATAAATACTGATTCATACTTTGTGCTAGGTCCTTAGTTATATGTTACATCTAATAGAAATAGACTGACCTCGCGATTCAGATTATGTACTAAACTATATCGCATTTCTACTCATTGATTCCTACCATGTTAAGGTTTTAAGCTTTATCTTATATCTAATATACATAGACAGATTTCTTGATTCCGATTTAGTACTAAGATCTATGTCTATCTTATACCTATTATTATACGATAAATGAGGCAATTACGAATCGTGTATAGGCTTGAAATATTGTTAAATTACTTTGCTTTAAACAATTATGTCATAGATCAGCTCTCTCTCTCTCTACATATTTACTCTCAATATTTAATCTAATAATTTTCTTTTCTGCTCTCATTCATTGTCCAGCCTTTTTGGCCATACTGGAGAACGAGAATGCGATACGTGTGTGGCGCGGCGATAATGATACCACCTCAGTTATCACACATATCCTGCAAAAGTATCACGAGGAGAAGCATGTGATGGGCATCAATCAGTTCTACATTAATCGCTGGTGAAGGCGAACCCTTTAAAGTGGCCTAAATATTGAGATTAACCAAATTCTATTTATACATGCATATATACATTCACAAGCCTATACATATACATTTACATATGGACACATATATATATAGAGATATATATGTATATTTAGATATATACACCTACAAACATACATACATGCATAGGCACTTGACGTGCATCAGTTATCAGTTAAGCGCATTTGAGCCTCATAAACATATTGTATGTATAAAAAACAAAATGACAAAAAAATTATAATAAGTAAATTGAACTAAATTGCACCAAGCCAAATATGCAAAACGCTTCGCTTACAGAGCACATTGGCTGCAATCGACAAACGCTTACCGATCAGTACGAAATTCATTAAATATAGTCTATACTAACTACTATAGTTCTATCAACTTAGTTCTAGTCATGTTTCGTAAGCTTTTCAAACATTTATCAAACCTATCTAAAAAGTCGCACAAAATCTGAAACAAAAACTATTTTCACCCAACTGAAACACGTAGATGATGCGGATTTTTGTGCGTTGTATTTACAAGAGTTGTTGGAAATAAACAAAACAAAACAAAAATAATAATAAAAATAAACAAGAGTGAAAAAATTAAAGAAAATGTAAGGCCGCAACTAAAGTATTATTTTGTAAAACAAATTGTATTTTGATAAGTAATAAAAATAATTAGTTTTTTATATAAAATTGAAAGCGCAATTATGATTTGTTTAGTTAATCGAATTTCGGTTAGGTTTACTTTAATATATGCATATCATTTTAATACATATTTGCATATTAAACAAAATTAGAACTTACTTTTAAAAGAGATTAAAGTTTATTTGGCGCATAACATAACATAAAGTTGTATAACATCTATTAGGCGCTGCTCTTAATGGATTTATTGTACACTTTAGTCAACAAACGTGTTACTAATACCACTTGCTGGTCTATTTGATAAACAAATGTGCTTGCTCCATGTGAGTCAACGTTTGAGCCTCTAGACTATTAGCAACAAATCAAATGAATCATTCAATAAATACAAAATATGACATTTGATTGTTGATAAGCGAAATTCCAATGCATACACGGCTACCCTACCCCTCCCCCTTCTTTTTTGTTTGTTTATTTTTTAATCAATAATGTCGTATTTTTTTTTTATAAATATTTACTCTGCCCATCAGACAGTGTTATTAATGTTTAATGTATGGCATTTCCAGTTTGAAATATTCACTATTAAAATGTACTTTTATAGTTTTGTATATCGTTTTATTCAAATTATTATGTGTATTAGTTCTTGGGTGTATACCCTTGCAGAGCGATTCATAATCAAGAGGTAAATAAGTGTAGAGCAGGGTAGTTAGGGTAGTATATATATATACTTATACTATATATATAGGATATATTTTGCCAATATGTGAGAATAGTGCATCTTGTAAATGCTGATTTTGATGAAAATGTCTTGGATATAAAGAATATATTGCCATACAATAACCTACTTTTCGACCGATCGTTCCTGTGGGAGCTATTGATATATAGTTGTCCGATCCTGACGGAAAGACGGACCTATGCAACTAAGAGATTAGAAGCAAACAGACGGACTTGGCTATGTCGACTCGTCTATTGATGCCGGTCTAAGATATATATACTTTATAAGATCGAAGATGTCTTCTTCTATGCGTTACACATTTCATAAAATAGTTGTATTACCCACTAAAAGGGTATATAAAATAAATAAAAAGTACTGCTACTACTATCCGTTTATGCCGTGCTTCAGCTGGAAGAGTATCTTATCTTCGGCTTACGCACAGCTAGCTTTTGCATCTTGTTGACTAATGTTTAACACACGCATTACTTGCCACGCCCACTCTAAGTGCGACGCCCCCCTCTGCACCACACACAAAGTACTTCACACGCATATGTTTTGTTCAAAATGTTTTGCAATTTGTTAAATTTTATAGAGTTTTTGTGTTTATGCTTGTTTTTATTACTGTTTTGGTGGAAGGGGGTGGGGCGGGGGGAAGCGAATAATTTAACAATTGCACTTTTAATGCATTACAATTAATTTTCCGAGCGACCGCACATTTTTCCATTCGTTATTTTCGCAGCACTCGAAAAACAACTAAAACAACAACTGAATGTATTTTATATTTTTTTCTTGTGCATTTTTTGATTTATGCTAAGCGCGTTTATTTAGTGGTTACGCATCCGTGAGTTACACAGATACTCGGTTGCATAGATGTATGCGCTGGCAAGTGGCTTTTAATTAATATTTTGCGCGCATAATTGTTAAATTGTTTAGCAAATGAGCAAAGCGCCATAAATAAAGGGGAATACATATTTGTACCTAAAACCCATTGAAAATGCGTGAGACGGGCACATCGGTTCCTTGCTAGTGTATGTATATATCTTACTGATCTAGATCTAGATCTAGTTTGTCGCTTTCGGCAAATTACAAAAGCTCGAGAGTTGAAATTTGATACCTATACCTGATGCAGAACAATCTAAGCATTTTCTTCTTGACATCGCCTCCCAATTTCAAAATATCGATAAATATCGTTTTTGACACTTGGTTTTCAAGCAAAACTCGAGGATTATAAAAGCTATTTACACAAAATTTGGTACGTAGTTTTGCGTATTGTATATGCAGCATAAAAATAATTCACTTTTTGGATAACTGTCTACATTTCACGAGAAACTTGAAAAGACCCTATTCTTTAAGGTGCAGCCTTGTGCTTTGGTATGTACACACTATTATATGCCATATTTGATCCCTGAGAATTTCATAAAGTTCGGACTGTAAACACTCAGGTTACTTAAACACGGATTCCTTATAGTGTATGCCTAGGGAAATAACAAGCACAGCCGTTGTAGCGGCAGTTTGGCAGCTGCGTTTAGGGCAACTGCTAGTCGGTTAGACCCGACTAAAAATGCTTAACTTGTTTTATATGTTGTTGCGGCAACAGCAAGTGGCAGCTGCAGCGTTTGCCTAATGGTCCTTGGTCATGTCCATGCAAATGTGCGAGTGTCTTGCAAAAATTGATGACGCATGCAATGTAAAGGGGGGGGGGGGGGGAGTGTGGGTGTGTTGACTCAGGGGGGTAAGGTATAATAAATCATCTGCTGCAAGAAATATCCAGCTAACTACTAAATCCAAGCGCTACCCTCGCAAGTGGCCCAGGCAAATGAGTTTTTGATATTATCAAAAAGACGAAATGCATTGACAAGCAGCAACCCCCAGCCCCCCCCCCCCCCCCCCCACCCCTGCGCTTTAGCCTAGCCGCAGGATAACAGACACACGCCCAAGCACTCCCCAGCAGCCTATAAAAAAACAGCCAAGATTCGCCCAAGGGTTGGAGGGTTGTTGCTTTTACTTGATATTATAGTCGTGTGGCTTTGGCAATTTCCGTTGCATATTTGCAGGCGCCTCACAATTTATGAACATTATTATCGAGTGGAAACCAAAAAGAAGAAGAAGGAGGAAAAAAGACGAAGACAACCCAAGACCGAATGCGAATCAAGCCGAAAACAATGCGCTGCAACAATTTGGCGTTGGCAAAATGTTCGCAATTTGTATGAAAATGTTCATTTGAAATTCTTGTCGCATGCGAATTTTCATTCCGTTTTCTATGTTTATATTTGCCGTAAAAGCCCAAATAACTCGATATAATGCGCTGGCTCTTAAAAATTGCATTAAATATGCATTAAAATTGCCAACGCATCGGATATCATATAATAAAATATTAAAATTGATGCAAGTGAATGGAGTAAACGACTAGAAGATATGCTGTAGAAATATGTTTATTAATATTTCTTTGTTATGGAAGACTCGAAGAACTTGGAATGTTAAACTTAATATTTATGTTTGTTTTCTAGGTAAGAGTCTGCATTCCAAATTTGCTGAGCCCAGGCCTAAGGGTCGCTGAGTTCAATGAGGTCACTTAGACAAAAAGGTCAACTAGATCAATTCAATTGATCTTGCAAATTGGAAAATCTCTTAGGGAAAATTTCTTCTATTCACTTGATGTCAAAGGACATGATAAGGGCAGCAACTTATCATGGCCCTCTACATCTTCCCTAGGCACAGGGTATTTAAATATACAAGACGTGCGCATTCGTTCGATATTCTGTGAGTATAAAGAAATTGTGGCTTGAGTTAAATGACATTTTGGCAAATGAATGCATTAAATTCTGCATTCTCTCTTAAGGCTTTGATTTATGCATAATTTATGCTTGATTTTCAATCGTAATTTGCAGATTTGATTTAATCAACATTTTAGACAATTAGTCAGACATATTTGTGATTGTTTAACTATTTACATTGTTGTCATTTATTTTATTATCCATCGACAATTGTTTGTGGTTTTTTTATGACCCTGGGAATAGACTCTTTGTTTAAACAGAGTTGAAGTTTTACTGTTTGTGCATATTTTCTTTTTTTTTATTAAATGCAATTACAAACAAAATTGTAGATACCTTTTCATTGTAAAAACTGCATAAAAGCTACCTAAATATCTGCTTATTTTAGAATTGTAGAAATTTGTTTAACAAAGTCCTCTTAAAAATGTTAAGGTTTTATTTAAACTTTTATCTTAATTTTTCCAAAAAAATTTTCAAAAAGTTCTGCCTCATAAAATGTATTCTTGTAAGAGCTCAGAGAGAAGTCTATTTCGAATAAAATCTTTGCTTGAATAAACTTAAAAATGTATTGCATGAATATATTAAAATATATTTATTATAAATGTAAAAAAAAAATTGTAAAAATTTTAGAGTTTTCAGTTTATGTAAATATCATTAAAACTCACTAAAAACTATCTGAATATCTGTTAATCTTAAAGTAAATAAGGAGAAGAGTTTCATTTTAAAAAATCATCCAACTTTTTGCCTTAACTCTTCCAAAAACTTTGTCCAAAAGTTCTGCGCCTTCAAGTGTATTCTTATAAAAGTAGAAAAGGGTCTATATATTCTCATATATTATAAGGGATAGGACAGAAATTAGTCACTTCCCCTCAACCCCCACAAAATCTCCGTGCAATTAACCATTTAAAACCAAACAACCAAATCGAACTCCTTCATTAGCAAACATTGCGAAAGATGTTGTCAAGACTGTAACTTGGGGCACATTTTGGGGGCACATTTCATTTATATGTGCCATAAATACTTGTACGAAACTTTGAACGCGACATGAAAATTAAGCAACGGCCACGCCCCCGATAGACAGACGCCTTAATGTGCGTTGTCTGCACAGGCAGCAAATAAAAATTTAGCTTAAACGCATGAAATCACACAAAGATACTAAAAATTTGAGCATGCAAAAGGCATTGGAGTCTGCGGCTAGGACAGAATGTCCTTGTTGGCACACACAGATACACACGCACACATACACACACACACACACACACACACACACACAGTCATGCTGCAAACAAAGTCAACTACCCTGCGGCAAAGCAAAACTCTACAGTTTATGACGCAGTAGGCCAACGTCCCGGTCTCATAAATATAAAAATTAGTTGCTGGTCAGTTAGCAAGTGGGTGGCTAAAAGGCCAGACGGGGGCGGTGGGTTGGCAGAGGGGGTGGGAGCGGAGGGCAACGGTTGAGCGTGGCATTGTG